CTATTAATGATGATGCTTGGTAAAGGGGGGGGGGGCAGAGTACTCTGAACTGTATCTGCACCTAGGAAGATTCTCTGCAGCAGCAGATAATAATTTTAATAATTTTAATAATTTATAAACAGTGCAGTATTTGTTGTACGCTTGAAGTTATGTAGCTCATGTGTGTGAATCTGTGAACATGGGCCCTTTTTGGGAGTGATACGTTTCTGTAATTCATTATTATATTGTCATTTGAATATATGTTTCTTCTTCGGTGGTTTTGTTTGGTTCAGTCTCTTAGATTCTGCTCTAGAAAAAACATTCCCAGGAACACTCCAGAGATCAAAGATTTGCTTGAAGTAACAGCTCTCTGTACAGGTTTTTCTTAAGATGGTTGGTTGGGTGACTGGTTCTCTGACTTTGTGAAAAATTATTTCTTGTAGAAAATGTAATGATGAGTAAGAGCCAATTTGTTTCTGAGCAAATGTAGGTTAGTGAGTTGCTGTCAAGCTGAGCTTTCAGCTTTCAGGTGTGGATTACTGCAGTTGACTTTTTTTTTTCTCTAGCAAAGTACTTGCTTCACATTTGTTCAGTGACTCAGCTCTTTGTGCTTTTATTCTAGATTGGGCAATATATTATGTCGCTTCCTCTCCACCTTGAGCCATTCGTCACTCAAGAGGATTCTGCTTTGGAACTGGCATTACATGCTGGCAAACTGCCTTACCCCCCAGAACATGGTAGGGTGAAACTTGAAGTGTCTTGGGGAAAGCTTTCATATTTTGACATTACGTGGGTGTGATGTGTTATGGTAACAAAGCTGGTTGAGATCCACTTTCTGTTGTCTAGTCATGCCGTTTCTTCCAAGAACCTCTTGGTAATACGCAGGAGGAGCCTCTAAATAACCAGTAAAACTTTCTCAGTTTCATTCACACCAGAAGCTTTAGCTTGGTCTATTTAAGTTTAGTGTTCATTAAAACTGTGGTTTAGGGTGCAGGGTCTGAAGTATTACTGTTTCAGAGTTGGAGCAGTATTTAATATCCTAGATGCAGAGAGTGAACAGGAGGTACCTGGGGTCCGTTCCCAAACTCTGAAGGGAACTGTTGTACCATCTAGCCTGAAAAACTTCTTGAGTTAGCTTTTGTGGCTTCTGCTCCTTATCAGCCTTGTCCGTTGGAGTGCAGTTCATGGGGCATACTGGGCTGTCTGTCAGCTTGCTGAAGGGGGAATCTCACTCCAGCTTTGCACTCCTGCCCTCTCTTTTGTGCTGGTTCCACAGTAGGACCGTTTCCATTTGTTAACCCCACAGAAAAGTATTCACTTTTTTCTTTTTCTGGCCTAGTTTCTCTCAAAAATATGTCAATAAAGTGATTTACATCAACTTCCTGAGAGGTCTACTGTGCAACAGAGCTGGCAGGAGCACACAGCAAGGAATAGGCAAAGAGGAAGCTTGTGACCGTGTTTAGAAGTGGTGAGTTGTTAGGCTGGCAGACCCTTTTGTGTAATGTCCTCATCTGCTGAAGAAAACAACCCTGCATCAGTGATCATACAGTGTGTTCTTATCTTCAGACAGTACCTAAGCTGGAATTCTTGTAACAGCTGCTGCCAGAAATTAACCTAATATGAAGCTTTCCAGCCTCAGACACTATTAAAATCTGGACAGAATATCCCGTAAACTTAAATTTTACGCTAATCACTTGTGGTATAAAATATGCAGTCCTCCATGGCCTTGCTGAGAACCACAGCTCCTTAATTTGTTGCTAGAAAAAGAGGAGCCCCTGAGCTCCTTTCTTCAGGAATAGGTTATTCATTCTCAAGCAAGATAGTAATGTTGTTTGCTTGTAAACAACTTTTTTCTCTGCCTCTTTTCTCCGTGAATCCAGGAAAAACCACTGTTATACCCTGTGTGACACGCTAACCTATGCCCATCTGTCACAGAGATTAGGAGCCCATGGTCAGAAATTGGTCTGCTATCTCTCTTGTTTTGGTCAGGTTTTGCATCTTTGGGAATTTCTTTTCTTAAGGATCTGACCACATGTTCTGGTCTCCATAGTCAGGTTCTTGCTCATAAGGACACAATTTTGGAATGCTGACCACTTTAAATTCCTTTTTCATCCTATATTAACTCCAGCTGAAAAATCATTGGAGCGGCACTGCTACTACCAGTGCCACCCGAGTCTTTAATGATTAGATCCCAGCCACAATGATTAAACCCTCTGCACCGAAGGAAGTGTGGTGGGTGCTGTGGGTGGCTGCTGTCCGGGACAGCTACGGCCCAGGTGCCTCTTCAAAACTTTCTCCCCAGAACGCACCGAAGAGTTCTTTCTGCATGTTGTTCCTTAATTTCTTGCAGCAAGCTGAGTTTTGGCTCATGTTCCTTCTTCAGACAGCTATCCTTACCTGTTGTGTCATTAATCCTGCTGCAGTTAACAGCAGTAGCTACATAATGCTTCCCAGCAGGTTGGCAGCGCACTGTGGTTTGCTGTGGTTAATCTCTTCTCGGTGTTTATTTCCACTGACAATCAAGGAAGCATAGAGCTTGGTATTTATAGTCTTTCTGTAGCCTTCTGAGAATACGCTCTTTAGTTTATGTTTTTGCTTTACTTATTTTGTCATCTTAAAGCATTTACATGTTTAATAGCTCATTAATTATCAGAACACTGATGAACACAGAATGCCTTTAGGGCTTGGAAAAAAACCCCTGTGAGTCCTTGTCATTGCAGTAGTTTGTAAACTACTCCTGGAAGATGATCCTATAGAACATGCCAGGCAGTGCCCCTGATCGCAGCCTGATCACCTGTCAGCCCTTCAGGAGTGACTTACTGGAGAAGTAATAGACGGAAGTAAAGCACTTTGGGTCTTGAGCTAACTTTCAATGTTGTGTAGTATCAGGGAGGATATGTAACGGCTTTTATTGCTCCAAAACCAGCTGATAAGCTCTGAATACCTTAATGTCCTGTTGAAGAAACAGTTGACTGTTCATGAATTATGTTTTGTTACAAAACCGGCTAATGCAGGTGAATGAGACTGCTGACAGCTAACCAGAATTTTCTGTCCAGGAGACGAATTACCTGAGCTGGACAACATGGCTGACTACTGGCTGGGCTCCATCGCCAGAGCTACGATGCAAACTTACTGCGAAGTCATCCTGCAGATACCAGAGCTCACAGTACATTCGACAAAGCAGCTTGCCACAGACATTGGTAAGTTCGGTGCACCCATTACCCTGAGAACTGTTGCCGTCACACACGGGCTGCTCTGTTATCACATTAGATTTGAAGAAAGTGCAGTGTGGGTTTCTCTTTTAATCATGAGTGTGTTGATCTGATACCTGGCATGGTGGAGTGGTTCACAGCTTCTCTTCTGCAAAGTGTTCTGTCACATCCCTCTTTGAGGGAAGGGTGATTTTCCAGTAGGTGCTTCTGCTTCTTCACTGCTTTGTGTTTCTGACTGTGGAAGTCAAAGTCCCTCTGAACGGAGAGGATACCCTTACAAGCCGGGCTTAGCCAGAAAGAACTGTA